TTGCTGTTCTTCCAATCGCCGACCTGGTTGAAAGCTGCTTTGTTCGCGCAAACTCCAGTGAAAGTTCGATGCAGGCTGCAGACTTTACAAAGCAAACGCATATGTGCTCTCGCACGGAAGTCAGAAACCGTGTCCTGTTCCCAATCATGGTGAACAGAGGTCGGCGCCACGTTGATGGACACGCTCCTTTAAACATTGCCACCAAGCCTCGTCACTTGGTTTCAGCTTCCAACTCGTTACGGTACTTCGGAAAACAATAAAGGCTGTTCAGCTGTTCTTGGAAGATTGTCGGCTTCAGAGAAACACAGCCTTCAGGTGTCGTGCAAAATCACCCACAGGCGGAGCGATTGCTTAGTAGTATGCACCTAGAATGCCACCACCCCTTTCGAAACTACTAGTCGGTGTCGCCTGCGAATTTGACCTGATGAACGGGTGCTTGTTCACCTTGTCCCGAAGGCATCCGCCAATTCACTGCAGGGTGCTCATCCTCAAAAACTGATTCACGTAGATGGCCGCTTCTGTTGGGTTCTCGACCGATGATCTACTCCAAACAAGAATGTGAAGTCACACCGTGCATCATTCGCCTGAACAAAGGAATTTCCAAGAATAAGGTCTAATTGCACACCAACTCCGTAAGCTGGAGGGTACAACAAAGTCCAGTTCTCCATGTTGCATAACCCATCCTGCCAAACAAGCATGCCACGTTGGGATGTTCCCCCCTATGCTAACAGTCCTCAATAGGGATAATACCCCCTACTATAATCCCGATTAAGGACTGGAAGGATAAAGGGGGAACATCCCAAATGCCACGCTTCCTTTCTTGGGCCACTGCCATAGTGCCTACATTCGAATCATGTGGCAGCGGGGAACCGAACGTGCATGAAAGTTACGGCCTATACTCGGAGATGCATTCGACAAAAATGGAGCTCCACTGCTTCATCAACACCCCATTGTAGGACTCTAAACTGCAAAAACGCGGAAACCGTTGCCACGCATCGTGACTTGTAAAGTGCACATCCGATCAGATGCACGAGATAAACTCTGCGAGCTTACCGCTAAAATGGTACATGCAAGGTAATGCTCACAACCCACAACCCACACTCATGTTGCGGAGGAAAGCTTCTTCTGCTTCTGCTCGCCACCAAGCATGATGCTGGATTCAACAAGATCGCTAAATGATCTGAGTAGCTTACGTGTGAGGCAACCTCCTGCGGTCCCTCTGAGGCAGCTAGGCGAATTGTAACTGTTTTTGCTGCTTTGTTGCAACTTGTCTATTTGCTAACCTGTAACTTTTGGGAGGCTCGAATCGTGGCCCCTGCCAGGAAAAATTTGGGTTTGGAGCTTTGACGTCGTTGTTTTTTTACGTTTTCGGAGCTTGCAGTCGTGCATGAAGAAATGTTATTTTGGGAAACTTGAAACCGTGACCAGGTGTTGCGTGGCAAGCCCTAAACCCTGAAAGGAGATGCCCGAAACGAGCCTTTAACCCCAAAAGGAGATGTTGTGTAGCAAGCCTTTAACCCTGAAAGGAGATGTTGGGTGGCAAGCCCTAAACCTTCGAGGGATTCGTCCGCGTTCAAGCGAAAGAAAGTCACAACTTGGCAACTTTGACGAACAACCCCACAAGTCACAAGCAAGCAAAAGGATTCACGACTAACCGTGCTCCCTCCGTGTGAAGAACAACTTAAGGCCCTGCCAACGCACTGCGCTCTACCGCACAAGCGATTGCATTTTGCCCATTCTGCGCGCTGCAGATATGAATGGGCCAGAACGTCTGCCCGTGTGTTACGCATGCTCGCAGTAGGGCGCTTGCGGCGTGGCGAGCACCATCAGCTTGAGAAAGCGATCAACGTTCACATGACGTCCGGGAGGTGGACGAGGAAAGGCCTCGCCCATGAAACCTGGGTGTCGGCTGATGCTTCTCCGAAAGTGGGCCAACTCGATGAAGGAGAGCGGTGCAGAACTTACGATGACCGTTAGCCATGTCCTCAACCGATGAGGGAGGTAAGTCATAGGACCAGCCATCCGGACCAGTGACCTTCTACTCTTGACAAGGACTGTGATTGAGATGCCTGTTGTCTAGCTTGCTGCAAAGGTCCTCGCATCAAGTTGCTAAGAGATTCCAAGACAAAATACTGGTGATGCCGTGCCATTGCGTGGATCGCGGCAGAGGACGGGACGTTTTTCAAGATAGGTGAGGCGAGAGCGGGTACCCCGACACCCACGCCGGATAGGTGTGTGAAGGTGGGCTGGGAATTTAGCTCGTCCCCAAAGTTGCGTCGGCTGTTGTGGCCAAACATCGATTGGGGGGGTCTCCGGAAGTAGTCCGTAGGAAGGAGCAAACGGCCGCCGTCAGCCAAACGAATGAGGCGTGCAATCAGCTGAGCTCAGCCTTTGACTGCAGGTCACTAGGCTCACAAAGGCTTGCCAAGCACTCCGGACTACAGCAGTGCTAACCATTTTGTGGCTATAAGAATAAAAAGGTAGCAGAGTTGTCTACTGTACGTCGCCAACGAGTTGAAGAGTGAGGCTACAAGAGGTTACCATCCTGAAGGAATCGGGGGAATGGCCAAGGCACAACACAAGCAAAGCGCATCAGATATTTTTGTCCAGCCATCATTCAGGTCAGTGTCAATGCTCTTCCTGACGAGTCTGTCGAGACCCTCCGCTTGCAAGCCTCAATTTCAACATAAAACCAACGACCTCTGAAGCAAAACCTGGCCCATGAACCCTCTGTTCTTGCTGCTTTCATATTCCCACAACCAAGAAAATATCCACTAGCATGACCCAAAAAAGGAGGCTCAAAATGCTCACTGGCTAGAACAGAGACAGGCTCTCTGCCGCTGCGAAAATGCCGGCAACTACTCAGGGTCGGATCTCGGCTTCCACCTGCTCATGTCACGAGAATCATTCTTCTCTCAATGCTGGCTTCGTGCTTCAGATTGCGTAATCGGGGGAGTTGGTCCTGTGTACCAAGAAACAAGCCGGGATCTGCAGAATGGTGAACAAGGCTACTGTCCTCAACGCGTAGGATCGTCGGAATGCAAATACCCTTGAATGTCTGAAGGTTCCAAACCCATCCCAACCCATCCCTAGATTGAACCTTCACTCCCAAGCACACATCAAGCCGTAGTTGCTCGTCTAGCCATGAAAACCGAAACCCTCGCCAAGCATCCCAAACTCAGCCATGTGTAAAAACGCCCAGGAGGGCTTTCAATAGCGAGCAGACTACAAGAGAAGATTGGTGATCATTCCGGGAAATTCTTCAACGCTTGACATGTCGATGCGTCCGGCATAGAAGCTGCATGCCCAAGGTGGTGCCTCGAAGCTCTGGCTGTGGCTCTCTACCGATGGGCTGGGGTCAGCTGATGGTTCCACCTATCGCAACATAGAATCAATTTAGCATGTCTGCAAGAGCCAATGGAAAAACACCACACAGGCGGCCTTCCGCAGGCGCTTCCGCCGAGACACCTGGCGAACGTTTCTATCTGAACTTCAATCAATTTCCAACGTGAATGCCACTGTGAAGGGCTTGCCTGTTCTGGCTTCGGAGATGGGGATGGACCCTGCAGCTTGGAGGGCGAATAGGCTTTCAAGCTGTCCGCTGCAACACAAAACGAATCTCGCCTTTCGGCCCACTGAAGGTGCCGGAGAGGCCTCACTGCAGGGCGGAGCGATGCCCAGAGCAAACTCGGACGACAGGAGAAGCAGATTCAAAGTGAGTTCCCGTCCATGGGCGAAGCCAAGAGCTTGTCAAGATCGAAGTCCTGCATCAGTCGAAGACTCGAAGACGGCATTGCGAAACGACCGTTTCATGACATCCCTGCCTCTTCTGAGAAGGTAGGGCTCTGCTGCGACATCTCACCTGCACTGCAAACTGCCAAAGCTGATGCGCCAGGCGCTTTAGGCCATTGGACTTGGAACATCAGCCCATGACCGGCCTTTGGGTGGCGCCCCATCCACCCCTTCACCTCCCAGTCAACAGACTCTCAAACCCATCAGGGCATGACGTTCTTATGGTCTCGCATTGTCTCGCATTGTCCTGCATTCCTGCAGTCCTACTGCCCATGTCTCAGATGCCTTCTGCCTCATCAGGCCTGGCAGAACTTCCCGGAATTGTCCGACATCTTTACATAGGCTCGCGTTGACAAGATTCGAATTTTGGGTATTCTTCACTTCGTTCGCCAGGATTCACTCACTGATTCTTATAGTAAACGCAGTGAGCGGAGGAAAATTATAAACGAGCTAAGTGAATGAAGCATGAAAGGTCGTTATAAAAAACTGAAGAACGACCCGCTACATGGATCAGGAGCTGGCAGATGCTCTCTGTAGAGCCCAAACATCCACATCGAAATAACGCGGAACCCTCAAAAGCCTAAAGGTCAACATACGTCCCCTGGTACAGCAAGCCAAAGAAGAATGGACGTCCTCCTACCTCCAGAAGCTTAGCAAACCTTCAAGCCTAAATGCCCGAAACTCGAAAATCCTTCTGCAAGGTCAAGTCATAACCGATTACAAACCCGAGACGCTTTGCATACTTGCAGGGCGGACGAAAGCTAGTGTCAAGGGCAGCACCAAGCGCGAGCTTTTTTGGGAGCAGCTTGAGACTTAGGGGAAGGTTGGGGCTTTTGGGGGAGCGCTTCAATGCGGCACAAAATGAGGGTGGGCCCCCCCGAGCACACCCCCTTCTTTGCCCACCACCACAATCCCTGAAGTACGAGGACGTACCCCCAATCTGAATCTGGAACTAGCTTTAGTGACTAGACGTTACTACGCCATGACCGGAGTCCGGGGCAATTGGCATCACGAGTGTCATGAACGTGGCACACAGCGCTGCGCACAAGAAGCCAGGAAGGCTCGTAATCCTCGGCATCCAGCTCGTCCAAGTCAAGCTCGGGCAAGCTTCCTTAACAGACGAGCACACACAGAAGCCTAGGGTCTCAGAAGGTCTCAAATGAAGCTCTGCCCTGGGTCGAATCTGCTCCGACAAGCCTGTCCATGATTCAAGCTCTCGGTATCCGGCCATGCGCCGTCAGCGCATAACAGCCTACGGCTTCCAAGCACTGGGCTGGGAATGTGCAAAACTGCCTTGCTGTTGGGCACTGCAAGACACCGTTGCCTGGCGTGCTCCGCTCCAAGCCAGTGAAGCGGGACGCAAAGGATCCAGGTCTGCAGCCGCGCACTCATGCAAAAGCAGGCTCGCCTTCTGTGTTTGTGCCGAGGTTTTCCCCGCCTCACCAAGGAGAAGAAGCCCGTAAAGTTAGCCGTCGTGCAGGCCAACACGCGTGCTTCATTCTCCTCTCACAGACTTCGAGACCAGAGATTTTCGTGAGGCACCTAAAGTCAAACTTCCTGCATTCCAAGGCTGTCTCTGCAATTGGGGCACCCAAGGTCCAGAAACTGTTCCTGAGTGGCGCAGGTTCAACATGGTTCAACATGGTTCAACACGTCAACACCACCTCAGATGCTCAGAGGTGTGCCTTGGTCATGATAATCCGACACCTTAGTCAAGGGCACCACTCCATAGCCACACTGGACCACACTTCCACTAAACCCATACTGCCTCGCACCCCTGCATAAATGCCGTCCTGCATGAATGCCGTCTTGTGTGGCTCCATGCTGAGTGGAATTGAGTTGAAGCTGAGAATTGTGCTGCAGGCATGCTCTCAAACGCGAGCTTGATTTGGGAAGCTGATTCCTGAGACTCAGGAAAGTAAGCCAGACCACATTGCTACAACAGCGAGTCGCATGCAGCCAACCGAATGCCCTGATGCTCTCAGACGCTGGCTTAATTCGTTGAAGCTGCCTTGGAGCATGTGCGATGCAGCAGACCCGACAGCAACAGCGACAGCGACAGCGACGGCAACAGCAACGGCAACAACAAACAGCAGCAGCACCACCACCAACACCAAGGCCCAACAACAACAATAACAAGCAGCAGCACACAGCAGCTGCTTCAACAGCAACATCCTCCACTCCTGAATATTGAACGTGACGGCCAGTTGAAGCTGTGCATGCCAAACGGCCAGCAACTGCTATCACTTCCGGAAACACCACCAAGTCAGCACCACCACCCACAACAGCTGCAATCTACAAGGCACCAACCCCCCACACCAGCAGAAGGTCTGGCAATTTTAGACCTGCCGCTGAAAGGTTTGGGAAACATTTTGTCTGGGGTCCGTGCAAATGATCCAATGCCTCAATTGCGGCATCTTTCGGCAGATTCATCACCACACCATCAGGCGGAGCGTTTCATCTCGAAACCATGATCAATTTCAAGTCACATGTGTCGGGACCTTGTGGCTTGGGGCAATAGCAATAGCTCCCTTTCACTACTCATTGCTTCATGTAGATTAGATGGCTTCGAAAAGCTGCCACTTACGGACGAGCTATTCTGGGTGCTTGAAGTAGCACGAACCGAGACGAGGCCGAAACCATGCCGAAGGAAATGTCATCTCCCAGATCAGCATCATTTGTTGCTGGTTGCCCATCTCTAGCGCTGTCATGTTCTCTATGGTGCACTTCGAAGCTGCAAACGGCAGCGGTGCCAGCTAACATAGCTGATGGTAAGGCTTGCAGCCCTTTCTCCCAACACGGAGAAAAACAAGGATCTCCGTCATGATCAAAGCAGTGACTTGCAAGCTTCATACGCCATGTCATGCACATTAACAAGAGCAAACTTCTCTGCAAATTTCAACCTCACCTGTGCAAAGCTGCATACTCCGCCGATATACGTGCAAGCACTCGCTCAAAGCTTTCTGCGCCGACGTTGCAAGCTGCAGTCATGGCAGTCTGCTGACCATCAGTTCGTCATGCCTGCAGTAGCAACAATAACCAAGCAATCTGGGGTATCACATCGATCATCAAACGTGGCTTCGTCTCAGAAGGTCCACGCTGCCTTCCTGGATTCTTGCCCTGGTTCGTCTTCGGCTTTGCGTTTCTTCTGATTGTCTGCTGAACTGGCAGCAGAATCATCTGCCTCACCAGATGTTGGAAGCCGTGTGAACATGCTAGCCCTCTTTGACAGTTCTCTGGCAAACATGATGTCTCAATCGAACCCTACGAGAAGCTTGCCCAACCCCAAGGCCCAACCTGCAAGAACGCCAAGCCAGCAAGGGCACCAGACATTGCAGACTCGGACGGCATCTGCTCCTTCTGTGCATGGCATGCAAACCGCAACTCTTGACAAACTGAGATCGCGCGATGCCACACTGAAAATCCTGCTCGTCATCGTCTTCTTTGGGTCCACCCGCGACAACTCTCGCCCACCGAGCTGCTGGGTTCACCGTGTTGTCTGGGATGGATGCATCTTTGGGATAAAGCCGGTAGAAGAGGCTTGTCATGCGCCTCACACATGTCTCCCTACATGTTCTCTGGATGGCCATCTAGTAAATAAACAGCACCCTGGCCTGATGCTGGAGCGAGGCCAAGCAAGCTCGGGACACAGGCGTGGCTAAAATGCATGCACCATGCATGCACAAGATGTACAACCGCGTTCTCCTTATGCACAAGCAAATGATGATAAGATAAACCTGCATGTTTGGAAGGTTCCGAAAGCCATTCATTGCTGCTCGAGTCTTGGCGTCTCGCAATCATACGAACCATGAGTGTTCCAAACCAGAATGCCTTTGTCTCAAGCAACGCATCCACATAGCACCAAAACGCACACTCTGGCTCACTGACATGAATCAAGCGCACAAAAATCACACACACACACACACACACACACACACACACAAACACACACGAACACTTCCCCATGGTCATGCACACATCTTTCCGAGACATTCGGCCCCTGATTAATCGACCCATCTCTGCAAGGGCCTCGATGGTAGGATCCTGAGTAGAATCGCTTTCCCATACCCCGAATCACGCGACCATATGGCGACCCGAAAAACCATAGCAGAGGCCGGGAAGGCTGAGTCCAAAGAGGCCCGAGCTCAAGGCTGTTTAGGGTTTAGGGTTACAGGTTTAGGGTTTACAGTTCACGGCTTGAGGCTTGTACCCCTAACCCCAAGCTTGCGAGAACCCATCCCAGCAAAAGCCCACTAAGCACCAGAAACCCTCTAGCGCCGAAATAGCTGAAGCCAAAAGTTCAGGGAAGCCCTCCTCAACATTTTTCCAATCACAAGCCAAAGGTCATCTTGCTTGGGGGTTTCCAAAAATAAGGGGCCTATGTAGATCCCAATAGTAGGATCCCCTTGTAATAAGGACCCCTATAATGTAGCCCTGATTTCTGAAACCCCCACTTTCCGACGAGGCAAGGCCATCGAGCCTCGTTCCAGGGAGTTTCCCCCTGCGTTGAAGAACATTCTGACTTGCGACGGGGGACCTCCCCTTCGTGAAGAATATTTTGAATTCGATGCGACCTCTGACAAGAGGCGAAGATTCTAACAAAGAGCTTTCCCCTTGCATGAATGAGAATCATAACACGGATGGTGCAAGCACAGCGGTCTGGCAAGCTTCAGGATTTGGTGAGTTTGGGGCGTTAAGGGTTGCCTTTCTGCATCCAGTTTTTGCCGAGTCAATTTGCTTGTTCGTGAACTTTACCATTTCGAGGTTCGGGGCTGTCAAGGGAGAGTCTAGTGCTTTAGCGCTTTAGGGATGCGGGTGGCCATTCCTCGAAGCTCAGGCTCAGACTACTCGCCATGCGAGACCAGTTTTCTCAAGACTCGTCTATACCGCCAGGCATACAAAGTGACAAGCACTGCGAACATGGCGGCCGCAATCGGGATCATTCGAGGCTTTTTCGGGAAGCTCGCCACTGAGAGAGGAAGCCAAAAGCAAAGGAGCAGGAAGAGATCCAACACGAAAACGACTGCCACAGCCTTGCGCATCGACATCCTTGTCGCCAGTGTAGCACTTATGCTCAAAGTGGCTGATGCAAGCCAGAAAAAGAACAGCGAAATCGCTGGTACCTGCAAGTACATGACGACCCATTGCCAGAGTTTCCAATCATGACCGTGCCCTGAGTGCGCCCTGAGGCGATGGATGGCCATGTGCAAGTACCTGCACGGCATGGCAGTCGACAAATGGATTACGACTCCGCGGTTCATGTGAGACTCAAAGAACAAGGAACCCCAAGATAGACTTCCCTAGTATGAGGACTCCTGGTCCCACTAACTTGCAAGGAACCCTTAAAAAAACAATACGGAAGGGTCTGCCGGCTTTGGATGAGGCTGCTTGGGGTTTTGGATTGCCAGCAAAAGCAGAACCGGCGAGAGAGAAACAACACATGATGACTACTACTACTACTACTACTACTACTACTACTACTACTACTACTACTACTACTACTACTACTACTACTACTACTACTACTACTACTACTACTACTACTACTACTACTACTACTACTACTACTACTACTACTACTACTACTACTACTACTACTACTACTACTACTACTACTACTACTACTACTACTACTACTACTACTACTACTACTACTACTACTACTACTACTACTACTACTACTACTACTACTACTACTACTACTACTACTACTACTTCTACTACAAAAAAACGAGAGTTTTTAAGTATAACTGTTGTTGCAACAACAGCAACGATAACTTCGCAAGAAAGAACCTACGACCAGTATCACAGATGATTATACATAAACGGCCCCCAACTGTCCCAAATCCGACCCAGATGCTGAGGCAGGAGGCCAAGAGGCGAAATGGTCGCCATGGCCATCACCAAGCGCAGGGGCGGAGCACCCGACCCGAGCTTCTCGAGGACGAACCTGGGCTTCAAGGCAAACGTCACTTTGGGGTTTTAGGTTTTGGGCTGTAGGCTCTTAGGGTTAAGGTTTTAGGGTTTCGGGCTCGAGTAAGCCCCCAAACCCTACACCGAAGCCGTCTGCCTAAACTTCCCTGAAATGTGCCCTGATGCTTGGCACCTCTAGCATCAAGATGCCAGGCGACACCCTCAGCTGCTCGCGCACGAGAGCGTCAAAACGATCTAGGTAGTCCTTCTCGGGATCACTGCTGGCACATCTTTGACGCGCTAAACCTGAACCATACAACCGTACAGCGCAATGCTGACGTACGACCTAGAAAACACCTTTCGGAAGTTTCCCAACCATGGAATAAGACTCTGGAAGATCACCCGGTCCTGTTCACCCTAAATCCCAAACCCTAAACCGAGTCCTGTTCCTCGATATCAGAATACCACCGTCGAAGCGTCTGGAACACCAACGATCTGCAAGGTCAAGTCTTGCTCGGAGCTGACATGTTTCCAGAGCCACTTACTATCCCTGCTTTTAAGGTCCAGGGGTTTTCGGGCTTCGGCCTTCTCGTTTCCACAAGCGCCCGTCTGGCGGGTTTAGGCACCCCGAAGCCACGCAAGATGGCAGATGATGGCCCTAATACTAATAAGAAGAAGAAGAAGAAGAGGAATAAGAATACCAATAATATGCCAATACTACTAATAAAGAGAAGAAGAAGTTGAAGAGTAATAAGAAGAAGGCTGGCCTGTCACACAGGATCGGCTCGCCCGTGGAGGGGTGCACGTGGTCAAAGCCGCAGCAGGCACACTGCGACTCTCGGATGCTAAAGCCTCGCATCCTGACAGCTTCGGCTGGCTGGTTGTTGGCTTGGGATTTGGGCTGGGACTGAATGTCAGGGCTTAGGGCCAAGGGCTCCACATGGACATGTATGGAGGCCTGAATCATCTCAGAATACGGATTTGGCGATGCGTTGTGCTATTAAGTACAAATTGGGGAACCCCAAGGCACATGTACTAATTAGCAACTGTTCATGCTTCGGTTGCTTCAATGTAGCGGCACAAGCCTTGGAGGGGGTGTCGATTGGTGGCGGAAGGCTTCATTATATCGCGAAAGATACTCGATATCAAAACGACAACACAATAAACTTTTGTTGAAGGTTCTGCCCCTCCAGCTCAGCCATCTCGAGCAGATGCTGCGTGCCATAGTAGATCTGTGTGACAAGAAAAGTGAACATGAACGGGCCAAGAACGCCGGCTGCAAAAAGCATTATCGGGAAGCCTTTTATCCCAAAGTTGCCGGTTTCTTCGATCGTCAAGAAGATGTGGAATAGCGTCCAGAATGAAGTGTTTGCTAGACCTTGGCTTAGGGTGTCATGTAGCGGCCTTGATGATTGGAATAAGCTTGGGGTATGTGATGCCATGATACTGCAGGGACTCTAAGGGGATGTCATTGTTGTTTATTGTTGCCAGCCCTGTGTTATGAGCCCAAGACGACGACGAAGACCCTCCAGCAAAAAATGCTCAGCAAGCTTTGAAACAGTAGTCGAAACAGACATCAAGAGCCATAACCCTCGATCTGCCCAGACAGCGATCCGGGTATACTTGCCTAGGCGCAGGTCAGCATCACAAGCGCTGGCATGGCGACAGGAACGATTTGAACGGGCCGATTGCTGTCGCCATCATCGGGCTTCAGAAATCCTGCATGTTGCGTTCGAGGTCACCATCAAGGACCAATTGCAGGCACATACGGCTTTTTCTTTAGGACTACGGGCTTCAGGGTTCAAGGCTTGAGGGTTCAAATGCGAAATGGCGTGAACGATGTCGAGGAGTTTGATCTGAGGCTTGGTATGTGGACTTCCAGCTCAAGGATAGGACTCAGGGCTTCCAATAACACCAAAAAGCATTGTCAACAGCGTTTGAGAGCCAACAGGGCTGACCCACAGGGTCGAGAGCTTTGGAATGTAGGGTGTGGCCATTGAGGTCTAGCCATTAGGGCTTTGCAGGCGCTCCAAGACCTTAGGCCTTCAGGGGTTACCAATTTAGGGCTTAAGGTTTAGGGCTTTCGGGTTTGGGATTTAAAAGGCTCAAAAAAAGGTGCCCCTGAAGACTCACAACCGAGAGGCGTGCCAACTCGAAGGTGCACCAAAGCCGAGTGAATGTCCGGGGTGTCCACAATATGATGAGGTTCTGGGACTTGGACAGAAAGCCAGCAAGACCCCTGATGCCCTGCTGCTTAAGTTCAGGGTCATGCTGGGCAATACACAGCCGATCCAGAAACACCACCGTACGCAGTTTCGGAACAAGACTGCGCACGCGTTGCCAGAAGCAGAAGACCCCCAAAAACGTCAAATACGTCGCCGCGCTTGCTGTTTGCCAGCCACCTGATGAGCCCAACCCTAAACCCCCCAATCTAGTTTAAGCCTTGGTAATTAATTATGAATTAACTATTAATTGATTATTAATTAATTATTAATTATGTATTAATTTATTACTCTCTGTTCTTACAGTCAGGTTGCCCGGGAACATCATTGGAGAGTGGCGCCTGAGGAGCCCTGCTGAACAAAAGAGGCTTGAAGCGTTCTTTGTTGGGCTCGCGCTGCAGGCTTACAATATGCGGCTGTCTGAATTTAGCGGCCTACATATGACCAATACTCTTCCTTGGGTTTCCTCTTCTGGTTGTTGCATAACATGCCCTAAAGACTTTCACCCCAGTCAAAGTCCCGGTGAAATCCTTTCCCCAAGATCTTTACCCCAGTCAACGTCCGGTATGGTCCTTCACCCCAACCCTTAACCCTACAACGAGTAGCAAGCCCAAACTAAATCCTCAATATTCAGGCCCTACATGTGCAACTCGGCATTCCCCCTCGTAGAATCCCCAAAGAGAGCACGTCAATGTAGATCCCTGACGAAGCATTAGGATCCCACTTGTAATCCTGGGCAAATGAAGACATTCTACATTCCAAATCAAAGTCTCATCGTTCTAGAAGGACACATGTAGCTGGGTTGCCGCTTAAACCGCAAAGCCTGACCCCCAAAATACCTAAAACCATCGTGGGGACTGCAAGGAGGTGTTTGCAGTTATTCACAAATCAGCCCGCACAAGCCTGAACCCTTGGCCGTCAAGCGGAACCCTTGCAGAACGCCGATAAGTTCCTACAAACCCTTAAAGAACCCAAAAAAATCCACTACTAAGGGATACCCTCTGGGCGCCTGGAAGCCGACCGGCGAGGAGAAGGTTGCAAGTCAGCGCATTGACCACCGCGGCCGCCAGTGCCGCTGGCACGCCGTTGAAGTGCAACTGGTTTTAGGCTGTGGGTATAATACGTGGCATTAATGGTAAGAGTTGGGTTTTGAGACATACTTAAATCATCTGAAATCATCCTAAAGCGTGGTACTAGCAGTTATCAGGTCTATACATGAGGCTCTGGATTCACTGTCAAATGCCAGCCCCCAACCCTACACTACTCTGAGCCGTCATTCAGGCCAGTTAAGTATAAAACCGTTGCAAAAGCCTCTGCAAGCCAACAGGAATCAGGCCTAGCGAACAACTATAACTATAGGAACCAGCAGCCTACCCTTCGACACAAATCCTATAATTCTATAATGGAAAAGCCCAGCCACCAGCAAAGCCAGAGTCTTAGACCAGCGAGAGGTAGCCCAGTCGTGGCTAAGGAAGAAATCGATGCTGTCGGTTTGATGACCTCACGGCGGATTAGGGGACCAGGGCTCCTGCTTGGTCCAGGGTTTGCCCTCGAAGCCTGGGGCTATACGCGTCGTAAAGTCAAAACTCGGGACGCTTTAGGGCCCTTAGGGTTGGGGTCTTTTGTTGCGCAATGAGGGCCTTTTGATGTTTAGGGTTTGTAGAATTTGGCACTGAACCAGGTTAGGGAGCTCGGGCCCACGCCAACCAAGTTGCCGCTTGATTGCCGTGACTGGAAGAAAGCATTGAAACCCACGCCCGAACCCAAGATCCAGCTCTAAAGCCGCACTTTGCTTCTGACTTCCCTGGCCCTTTCCAAGTTGTTTATTGTGGTGCTGGGGGAGGCGTATGTGGGGCAAGGTTTGAGGTTGCCAATCAGCTACCACGCCGACGGTAAAGCTGACCGACACCTGAAGAGCAGCCAGGCGGCTCAGGGAAAAGTCATCCGCATCTGAATCGCGCTGAAAATGCTTTCCTGAGGGTTTGGGGTTTTGGGCTTAGGGGTTGAGAGTTTAGGGTTTAGGGTTTAGGGTCTTGGGTCTAGGGTTGAGGGTTTAGGTGTAGGGTTTAGGTTGAGGGTTTAGGCTTTAGGGTTTAAGTTTAGGGTTTAGGGTTTAAGGTTCAGGGTTTTGGGGTAGGTGACGTCATGTGCGCACTCACATATGGCGCTCATGCCTGTGCGTAGCAGACAGCCCACCCCAAGACCACGCTATGTTCCAACACTTTAGGGTTTTGTGCTAAAGTCTGCAGGGGCTTGGACATCACCAACGGACACAGCCCAGGCAAAATCAAAATGGGAGTTCTGACAAGCCTTTCAGTTCATGGATACTCTGCGTCTGGCGAGAATGTGCGCTCAGCAGCGCATGTGGGCGTTCTATGTGATCCTGTCTCTGGCGGGTGCCGTTCAAGAGGCAGTGGGCTTTCTGTGAGGTTGCGCTGGCGGCGCTTTTACAATCGGCACAAGCAGAGATTTCAGCGCATGTGGGTCTCTTGTCACGCTGTCCTGGGGGGTGCCAAAAGAAGCAGTGGGCTTTCAGTGAGCACTGCGGAGGGCACCCACCAAATCATGCAGGGGTGGGGGGCGGGGGTCCTATCCATGTCCTTTTGGGTACAGGATTCTTTCTCCGGGGCCTTTTGAGGTTCGATGTGGCTACACTGCTACACAATACCGAAAGGGTATTAAGTTATCTAAGTTCTAAAGATATGTGTTAGTCCACACAACAAAAGTAGGACGACGGCAAAACGACGGAGGGACGACGGTGGGACGACGGAGGGACGATGGTGGGACGACGGAGGGACGAGGGCAAGACGACGGAGGGACGATGGCAGGATGACGGAGGGACGACGGCAGGACGCCGGGGGGACGACGGGGGGACGACGGGGGGACGACGGGGGGACGACGGAGGGACGACGGGGGGACGACGGCTGTCGCGCCGTCGTCGAGCCGTCGTCGCGTCGTCGTCGCGCCGTCGTCGCGCCGTCGTCACACCGTCATATAAGGCCTAGTTTAAGCCCAAACTAGGCCTTATTTAGCCCAAACTAGGCCTTATTTCCCGTCATAAGGCCTAGTTTAAGCCCAAACTAGGCCTTATGACGGCGGGGCGACGGCGGGGCGACGGCGGGACGACGGCGGGACGACGGCGGGACGACGGCGGGACGACGGCGGGACGACGGCGCGACGACGGCGTGACGACGGCGCGACAGCCGTCGTCCCCCCGTCGTCACCCCGTCGTCGCGCCATCGCACCCTGTCGTCGCGCCGTCGTCACACCGTCGTCGCCCCGTCGCCACCCCGTCGTCGCGCCGTCGTCATCCCATCGTCGCCCCGTCAAAGCCCTGACGTCTAGACCCCTCTAGCTGGACTAGAAACCATACCCCAGATATCTCTAGAACTTAGATAAGTATTAAGTGAAGGTTTAGGGGTTTCGGTGTTTTAGGGTTTTCGGGCTTGTAGGGTTGCAGGATTGGGATTTGCAATTGCGGGTTTGCTTTCATCTTTCACAAAGAGTCAAGCTCGAAGGCTTCGGTTTTCTATGTTTGGACTTGTCATCGATGGTGTGCGTACACGCCTACATAAAGGACGTACTTTCCACAATTCGTGCCTAGAGGCCCCACTGCTGCAGGCACAAATCCAATGAGATGCCTCTGAGCATGTCAGGTGGCAAATCGGAAGCCAATGACGTTTGGGATACCTCAGCATCGGGGTGCCAATCATCCGCCTAAAACCCTCAGGCCTAAACTTCTCAGACCCCAAACAACAAACATGTGAGCTTTTCGCAAAAAGCTAAATGAAAAGCTGCATGACAAAAAAAACGACACCCTTGCAAAAAGCCTTTAAAACACACCCAAAACGAAACCTACGCTTCTCAAACCCCGGCGCTCGCCGTGCGGGGCCTTGGATCGGTTCGACCTCGCGCTGAGGCGTCGGTTCGGGTCGCCAGGGCACCATTGCTTTACAGGGTTTTGAAAGCAGAAGGTCTGCGCAGCAGCGACTGCTGGACCCTATAGACTCTGTCTGGGACTCGCACGGCTGCGTATAGGTATATGGTGGGTGTGTTGTGGGTTTGAAGCGGGGGTTCAGGATTTAATTTTGGTTTACGGCCAAAAGGTCCGGGTTTCGGGTTGAGCGTTCGGCAGCCTGCCTCCACTACAATCTTGGACATGTAGTAAGGCAGAACAGCTGACTGCACCAAACGCGGGCAACGGATCGCAAATGACCCGCGCCAGCATCGGGCACGGGCCCTTAATAGTTGGAACAGCGTCTGCACGTGTGATACCGCATAATCATGCGTACATTCCTCACCTACACGTGCTGAGCCGTGTGACAAAATGGGTAAGCAGGCCGGGCTATCAGTCAAATTATGGAGACCGTCATTGTCAAGAAGGTGAGGCGCAGACGTCGGGAAGACTAAAGCCCTAAATCCAAACCCTAAGCCCCAAAATCCCCTAAATCCTAAACCCCTAAACCCCAAACCCTGAACCCTAAACCCGAATGAACAACAGGGTTTTTCCGACCTTCTCTCGATATCGAATCTGCCATGCGGACGGACCCTAACCCTCCAACCAGAAGATCTTAGCCCTAAGCTCTCTGATAAAGACACTTTTTGACCCTCCACAACCTATCCACAGCCAGAGTGAATCATGTTGAACTCCAACACTTCTGAGGCTCCAAAAAATCAGTTTCGGATCAAAACAAATGTGCCCGAAAGAGGCCAAAAAGGAGTTCGCAGCAAGAACCGCACAGACATGCCTTCCTGGAGGTTTTTCGAGCGAAGCTTCGCCCTCCGATTTCATTCTGAGTCTCCAACAAGTGATTTTCTGGGCGATTTCTTTGACAGATCGCCGCTCCACTTTTCAATGGCTTCAAATTTGTTTTGAGTCTATGGGCTTGCTTCCCCATCTCTGTTTCTGAAACTTTTGAAACTCACGAGCACAGCTGCGTCGACACATGACATGAGACATGACTGTCAAGATTCTGGCAAACAAACTGTCCCACCACACAAATCTTACAAGGAGAATACATGGTTGAGTGTTTCCATGCATGACATCGAAATCGTGATCACCCCGCCAAGCAAAGCAGGCTTTCAGAACGATTCGGTGGGAGGACTGCTATACATGCCCAGAGCAAAACAGATTTGTCCTTTACTGCCGTGGGCGGACATACTTGAGCTTTGGGCAAGTGAATCATTTGAAACACCTCTAAAGTGAAAAATGACGCACCTTCGAAGTGAATCATTTGAACACTTTTGGGTAGTTTAAAACACCTTTGAAGTGAAACATTTGAAACATCTTTTCAAGTGAATCTTTTGAAGTGAATCAGTTGAAACACCTTCCAATTGAATCAGTTGAAACACCTTCGAAGGGAATCAGTTGTTACGCCTTGGCGAAGTGAATCATGAGAAACTTCCAAGTGAGTCATTTGAAACACCTTCGAAGCGAATTGCTTGAAACACCTTCGGAGTAAGTCATTTGAAAATGCCTTCGAAGCGAATTTTGAAACAGCTTCGAAGTGAATCTTGAGACCAAGTGAATCATTGGAAACACTGTTGAAGTGAATTGTTTCATGTGAACACATTGAAACACCCTCAAAGTGAAAACACTTTTCGAAGTTCATCATTTCACTGTAAAGGCACTGTAGGGAATCAGTGAAAAACCTTCGAAGTTAAACACCTTCCAAGTGAAAGTGAATCGTTGCAACATCGAGGTGAATCGTTGAAGTGAATCTTGCCAAGAATCAATTGAAACAGCTTTGAAGTCAATCAGTTGAAGTGAATCTTGAAAACCAAGGATCATTTGAAACAGCTTTGAAGAAAAACCAGTGTGAATCAGTTGAAATACCTGCCTTAGAAGTGAGTTGCTACACCTTGAAGCTGCTTCATTGCAAACACCTTCAAAAGTACCGTCCAAGAATTTTAAACACCTTTGAAGTGAAACATTTGAAACATCTTCCAAGTGAATATTTTGAAGTGAATAAGTCGAAACCAATTGAATCAGTTGAAACACCTTCGAAGGGAATCAGTTGTTATGAAGTGGATCATGAGAAACACCTTCCAAGCGAAGAATCATTAAAACACCTTCGAAGCGAATTGCTTGAAACACCTCGAAGTGTCAGTAAAAACACCTTCGAAGTTGATCATTTTTAGACACTGTAAATTTATGCAGGGGAGGCCCATGCATGCGAAGCCAGAATTGCTTAATTTTGCGACCCCACATGTGGAGTCGCGCAAACTGGCCACTTTGCAAACATGTGTACGCGATTTTGCAAGGCCTCTGAGGCCTCACCCTTTGGGCGTTCAAGGCCTTTGGAGGCATTTCGAGACCTCCCGAGGCCTCACTCATGGGGTTTCGAGGCCTTCCGAGGGCTCGCAAGGCTTCGACAAACCCGGAGGAACCCGGGCTGCTGACATGTGAAAGAATTTGAAGCCGCAGCAGGCCTCAAAGGCGCCTCGACCGCTTATAAGATGATCCTGCAAGCTATTTTTGTTGCCGCAAAGTTCTTCTTGATGATCCTGAGCTTTTAAAGATAATTCTGAAAGGCCTTCTGCATTACATTGCAAGCTGACGTTGGTCTCCAGCAAGCAAGCAAACTGCATTGCGCCTTTCACCTACTGGGGAAGGAGCTTCAGACTTAAGTGCAAGCACCTCTGTAAAAACTCTTTGCGTATTAGGTTCTTTGCAGTAGAAGCACCACTACGTGAAAGACCGAAACGCGGCAAGCAACTTGCAGCTACAAGACTTACACTTACCCCACAAGTTCGAAGGTTGTGGTTCTTCAGAACCCTACCTTCACTTTCTCTGGCAATGATACACGCGTGCAAGTTTCAGTTTTGAGGTGAGGCTCTTTCTTGAAACAAAGCAAAGTACGTAATTTTCAGGAGGATTGGACATGGCTCGCATGATTGAGAATTGTGCAGCAGCAGGGTATGAGTTGTGGAGATGCCCTTGGGGCCTCAACCGTTGAGGTGACTCTGCAAAGCGATTCTTGCTGCCGCAATCAAGTTCAGACTTCTCGACAAGCCTTAAATCACGTCTTAATGATTTTAAGCTTTTAAGATTGCAGGCTAATGTTGGTCTTCAGCGGGCAAGCAAACAAAATTACGGAGAAAGCCTTGAATTCTTGGAACGGTCTTCAGAGGCTTGGAAGCCTGGACGGTGGAGGCAATAAAACGTGTTGCACCTGCCTATATTAAGGGAAACATGATCTTCAAGCCTCAGACTTTGTCAAAACCCTGCAAGAAGTGGACAGAGACCTTGCATCAGTTGCAAAACATGGAAACTCAACATGCCGTGTTACCAAAATGGGAAAACCAAAACACACACATACCAAAACCACCATAAAACACAACCACCAAAACCTGCAGCCAACAAACCAAAGCATGCATGCCCACTCTTGCTTTAAACTGCATCACGTCACCTGTTGCAGCAACCTCTACTGTTGCTGTCTGTCCAATGTTTTGGCTTTGTAGAAACGTTAAAAGCCAATTTCAATTACGACAACGGTGGTGGAAAGCCAACATGGTGTTGAACCGGTCTGAATCCAAGAAGAAAGTGCTGAAGAGGGCTGCAACAAAGGTGGCATCAAACTTTGAGCGCTGCAAGGTGGTTAAGCCAGCAGTTAAGAGCAACACCACAACGCAGCAGAATCTGTGCGGTTCAGAAGGCCACCAAAAAGGCGAAGGAACTGGCGCAGAAGCCTTCTCGGGTCTTTGAGCCACGTTTTGGCCAAAGATTTTTAACAAGCGTGTCTTGCGATCACACATGTGCACATAAACAGTTAGACAAACACATGTACGTGGATCAGACGCAACAGTTCTTGAATGTTTTGGTGCGAAGCACTCTCCGTGGCATTTTTTCAAATTTTCCAAAATGCAAGTTTCAGCACTTTTCAAGGTTTTTGGAGTTAATTTTCATTGTTTGTTGGCGTCGCTGGGTTGTTGTTCAAAATTTTGATTTTTGTTTTTGAAAACCATGAAAAATGTGTTTTTTTTCCTTTTGTTGACAACTTTTTTGTTTGCTCCCATTTTCTCTGGCAAGATAGCATGTAGGAATTCCAAAATGATTTGTTTTTAAACCAACCATTCCAGAGAAGCATTCCAGATTTTTTGGACGCCGCGTTTCAAACAATGTTTTTTGAAAATTTTCAAAATTAAAAATTTGTTATCCAAAACCAAAGCCGGTCGGATTAGTTGCAAAAAGTTGTAGGCTCGTTGACAATGTTTCTCAAACAAGGCAAATTTGAAAAAAAAAAAAAAACACATCAATTGATGCTTTTAGAATTGTGCTCAAGCGATTTTGTTTCTGAATCAAGGCATTGCAAAATCAGTATTCACACTGCAGACTTTGAAATGCTTGAAAACCAGTGTTTCCTGTTTTAAATGTTTTTTTCATTTTTGGAAATTTAAAAAAACAATCTGCTTTTGACCAAGGCAACTTCGAAACCAGTGTTTTTCAGGTTTTAAATGTTTTTATGTTTGAAATTACAAAAAAATAATTTGCTTAACAGGTCCAATTTGCTCAAGTTTGGTGTTGTCTTGCATATGGAGGAAAAAAAAAATGACTCATGACTTCCACAAAATACATTCTGTTTGAACGCCACGTTTTTTCTAATGTTTTTTGAGATTTTCAATATGTTAAATTTGATCCAAAGCAAGCCGGTTGGCTCAGTTTCAAAAAGTTAGTATGGATCATTTTGTTCATTTCGTTGACAATGTTTCTTAAACAAGGAAAAATTGAACAAAAATCAATTAACGTTTTTTTTGATTTTGTTTTTCAGGCAAGTTTGTTCAGAGCGATTCTGTTTCTAAACAAGGCATTCCAAAATTGTTCTTCATATTGCAGACTTTGAAATGCTTCGAAACCAGTTTTTTTCTGTGTTTTAAACGTTTTTTCATGTTTGAAATTTTAAAAACAATTTGCTTTCAAAAAACGTAGCAAAAGAGCATCTCCAAT